ACCTTTAAAGCCTTTTTGATGATTATTATTACCTCCTTGCTTGCAGTGTTGTACTTTTGAGAGATCTCAGTCGAGAAGTTAAGGACAGTTGGCGTCGGGTTTAAAGGCCTTGCAGACGGACCTTTAACAGTCTCATCTGTAATCAATGGCGCACGATTTAACTGCATAATGAGCTCTGTTCTTTGAATGAAAAGTTTGGGTCGAACGTATTTCACTCCAAAATTTCCCAGTTGCCCTGCAACAACCCTGTATTTGAAAATATAACAAAAAACGTACGATTAATATAAAAAGAATATCGTTAGCTACAATTTTAATGGCTAAATAAATAATAAGATTACCGCATCACAAAGACTTTTGAATCAAACCAATGTACATGCTAAATAATTCATGAGCGTATAATGCTTCATTGACTTAAGATTCCTTGTGTATTACTAACAAGTTTTTACCCCATGCTCAATCTTACAAGTGTCGTTAGATGACAAATTTCAAAATCCACGAGTGAGGAGTGATTTATTTCGATTCGATTGTACACAGGGCGACCACCAATACGAAAATGACAGAGATCCTTTTTTTTTTCTTTTTTTTGTTTGTTTGTTTTATACTTATTTTCCTCTCTCTACTGACCCAGAAAATTTACTAGAATAATAGAGTATTCAGTTGACCAATTTATAATTGTTATGTCATGGCTCCAACTGGACATTGAGAGGTGGTATCAATTCTCTGACTACGCTAATACGGTGTGATAACCATCAGTTGACGATTTCTGACAAGTTATTCTAAAGATCTTGAAAATGGAAATTGTTTGCTTTAGGCCATGTCCCACACGAATCCGGATATTTTTGAAACCACGTACTTTTTTCTAGCATGAATCGACCTTCCTTCTACACGAAATCGTCGAGTGAATGCGCTCACCGAAACCGAATCTTTTTGAAACCACTCTCCAGAGTAGTTTAGGGCCCTGTCCACTCGAATCCGGGTAGCAAAATATGCGGCTTCAAAAATGTCCGGATCAAAGTTTTCATTTCCAATAATGTTTTAAACTCCCATTTAAATACCTGCGTAATAAGCGCGAGTATTTTTTGTTTGTTTGCCGGTTTTGCTTGTTTTTGCACGATTCTGTTTGCGCTAAAATCCCACAACTTTAGACGCGAAAATAGACTCAAAATTATTTGCAGAGGACTGTAAATAACGACCAAATTCTAAACCTATCATTTTTGTCACCATGACGGTAGCCTGCAATGCAAAAACGTCTGCCTGTAATCTTCTATCAGTTGTGGAGGAATCAAAAAAAAAAAATATTAAAGCCAGGCGCTTGTTCAAAACATGGCCAACAATATCCAGTGGATAAATCTATATTTTAATTTTACTTGCCACGCAATTGGTTTCCCTAATACTTCTCCGCTGGATAGTGATTTATCCGGTGGATAGCATTACCACCAGCATTCGAGCAACCGCGGCCAGGTAAATAACTTGAAATCGAGACAATTTTCTTATCTATTAAAATCCTAAATCTGAAATCGAGAGCCTATTGCGCTCGTTAAAAGAGTGACTGACCAGTTCTGCTTCTGCTACGGTGTGCTCAGCAATACTACTAGTATTCATTCTTATAACACTCGGTTTTCCTCGTCAAATAACTTCTATATTAAGAAATCCGGCTAGATACACAAAAGAGAGCTTTTTCAAGAATAGGAGCTAACATTTGGAATAAGATACCAGCATCATTAAGAGAGCTCCCAAAAAACGCTTTAAAACGAAACTTCACTCTATCCTTGTAGTTGATATCCTCATGAAACATGATGACTATATTGATATTCCCCCCCCCTGCTCTGAAAACGTATAAATAGAACTTAACTTGCTACATTGAAACTTACTTAAAGAAATTGTAATGTATCTTCATTTATGTTAACTACCAAAATTTCTCGAAGTAATAATGTCTCCTTTTGTAACAGTCCATTTTCGAGTTCGCTATGACCGCTGAATCAAAGAACTGAAGATGCATCTTTTACAGCCTTAGCCTCAATCTGATGTAATATATTCACAAATTCCGACGAGAAAAAGACCTTTTATTACTCTGTCTATTGTGTATATTCAAATTTCAAACACTTACTTGCCAGAATTTCTGAATATTTTACTTTACGTCGAGGCTAACCCTGTATGAATGTGTCGTTAATGTTTATATTAAGCGGTAATAATTAATTCGAAAGTGAACTATTCTAGTAAATATTGATTAATATTTTCATTGTATGTTTTTGTGTGACTGTTTCCGCCCAGATTAGCAAATGCTACTTGCGGACCAGTCTCTTTGTATTTGTATTTTTACAGTTATCTATTCAAATAAAGTTGAAGTTAAAGTTGAAAGCTGCGCAGGTGCAGAGGCATTAAATATTCCTTGGATACGATAATATGTAGATTTAGCCAAGGCAAAAGGTGAAGCTCTGGTTAAAGATTTATAATTTACTTCAAAAATAAAATCTAACCCTTGTAAAGAAATTCACTTAGAGTTGAGAATGCGATCATTTGGAATCTAGTAACTTGTCAGCAGGTAACTTCAAAAAAAACACGCAAACTCGATGGGTCGACAACTGAACCCGCGATTAGATCATGTGATATTGGTCAGTGGATACCCTGTTTTGACAGCTGTCAACTGAACACACTAATCAAAAAAGGTGAGATTTCGCATTGGTTACCTGGTCAGTCAGACGGACGTACGATCACGTGACTACCAAAATATGTCGGATGTTTTCTTAGCTATGGGGCTCGGATCGAGCGCGCGTGGAGTTCCGCTATTAGCCACCTATTTTCTTCACGAAATTGCACTATATCTCTCGTGAGCTTATTTTTTGTAAGACTTACCCCGGATTCCTTATCATGTAGCTTGGCACGTTTGTTAAACCCAAGGCGTAGGCTTGAGTGTCGGTTGGAGCTGTACGGAGAAATTCCAAAACTCTACTAATAAGGCTATACCTTGCTTGAGCCTGAATAAATGAATAAGCGATAATTATAGCAGTTTCATGGTTATTGGTTAGATTCAGAAGGCATTTCATAAGTAGGTAAGATTTGATTGATCGTCCTGAATGCAGTTCACTGTGACTAACGTTTCGACAAGTTTAATTTTTAGCGGGAAAGCAAGAGACAGTCTTTTGATTAAGGCATCGCTGAAGACCTTTAAAAGTGAGAAAAAGCGTAAAATTTCAATCTTTTATTAAGTTTACACATAAGGGTAAAAAAGATATTGAAAACAAAGATCACTTACCAAATCAGGCTGCTGACAAAACGCGGTCTGGTCATACCGACTTACATAAAAGGCACCATTGTTAAGCAACAGTTTTAAGATTTGCTGCAGAGTAATTAAGAGCCATGAAGAATTAAGACTGAGTTAAAAAAGTGAAAGAAACGTCATCTAAGTTAACTTTTAGTATTCATACTTGACTAATGCACTTTAGAATATACTAAAACAGTGGATAGTGTTTTTCGCGCGCTCTGATTGGCTGCTCAACCTCCGGATATCCGGTGCTATTCACTGATTCACCTCCAGTTCCTCCGAGCGAGCAACGCCAAACTCGCGTAAGTTACGTACAAAATGGCTTCCAGTGGTTTGCTGCGTAACAAACAGAAATCTCACAAATAATCAAACAAGCTGTTCCCGAAATACACGAAGAAGGTGACGAAATTCGGTTTTGTAGTTTTAACAAGTAAAGCTTTGTCTGTTTGACTTGAATTCATCGATGAAACCGGCAAAAAAGTTTTTTGTTTGCAAATCCAAATTAAGTCCTCCGTTACTTTATTTAGCTGACATGTTCATAAATAAGCTTTAAACTATATTTAATAGTTCTTTTGAAGAAATTTTGGAGAAATTTCCCCGCAAGAGCTATTCAAATGCCTTCAAAAGTTTTATTTGTCGGCAAGAAAACGCGACGGCCGCCGGTTCGGTCATTGCGCGCCAAAATCGTAATCGCTGGCAGAGTAAATGAGTTTAAAATCATAATTTTTGTGTTCAATTAACTCACTGTTTTAGTATATACTAAAACAATTATTCACCTCAGTTTCGGTGGCTAGTGTCCACCACAAGCCACCTCCACTTCGGTGAATAATTGTTATTTATCTCTGCGGTTGTATTTGACCACAAATGAAAGTTGAGAAAGAGGCATGAACATTTTCAAGTGCACCATTTTGATTGAAAAAAAGTCGCACCTCAAGTCCTAAAAGTCATGTGGCCTTTCGGTCTACGATCTGCCTTCAAATTTAGGTGTTCATGTCGTGGGAACCTTTTATGTAAAAGAAGAGGGTAAAGTCAGCTCATAATTTGAACTTACTTTGACTAGAATTCCCATGAAAAGAAAAAAATCAAAGAAATGTTGTAGCAGGGAGATGGATGCCACCTACATGTTCTCCTCTAATTTTGGACCTTCCTATTTTTTAAGACATGTTTTTCAAAACCTAAGGGACGATTGGTTTATAGTAGTAAGGGATACGATAAGTGCCACGTAGGTGGTGACCATCATATGGGATGTTGTTTTTAAATTACTACATGATCATCAGGTTTTCCCTAGGTTGATCTTATCTAGTAGGTTGATTTATCCTAGTATTTTTTTAACGTTTATTTTTCCTAAAGAAAAGCTGTAGATTTTTGGACAAGGATAGCTTAATTTTAAATGAGACAAAAAAATTAATAAAAAGGGATCGTAAAGCAAATGTTTCAACTTCAAAAATTCAACAATATTGATTCGCTTTATTTATGTATAAATTGCTTCTGAATCAGAAAAAAAATTAAATTTAGTCAAGATACAACAGCTTCGATTCTTCACCACAGTGGCGTTTGTTGTAAGTTAAAGTTGTTTTTGTTGTTGTTGTTGTTGTTGTTGTTGTCCGCTGTTATTTCTCCGACTAATTTTTCCTCTATTTTTGTTGCTGTCTTCTTTGTCTCTGATTCTATAAATACGATCAAATTTTCGCAAACTAATTGAAGCAGACAAGATAATTATCTTATGCGTTCCAGCTCCTTAAAGTTTTCTCTTATCTCTTACCTCGCAAAGTTGTACGGCCTTATCCGAATTACGTCGTGTAATTGGCGAAATAACTCTTCTTACAGAAGCAAACATATCATTTATCATCTCAAGTAAAACGTCTTTGTTCTTGAATCTACCATATGAATTCACAAATTCCGTGGATATATTCAGTATATTTGTGGTATTAGTTCTCTGAATCTGAAACAAAACATAGATTGCACCAAAAGAATATTATTCTTGGCTTTTGTAAAAAGCAGGGCTTGTTTGTTTAACAGTATTCAGCAAGAAACATAAATGGAATAAGTCCTAAAAATCACTTTTTCAGGCATTCATTGTATCGCTACATCTCCAAATCGGTTGAATAACAGTATTAAGGTGTATGTAACATCCCAATCTTTTTAAATTATGTCATTTTGAAAGAGAATTGTAGCGAAATGATGTTCTTGAACGTTAAATTCAGTCTTATTCCGGCACACGGTCAATTAAACGCGCCCAGAGTAAATTTCCCCAGTCTCTAAAATGACCTAAAATCACTCAGCCAATATATAAATCATCTAGGAATGCTGAAATAAACGGCTGCTGAGTAAAAAAGTAGAATCTTAAAGTGCAAGAAATAATTATGAAAGGTTGATTAGAGGTCACCCGGTACTGATTGCTGAGTATTCCTGTCACGATTAGCCATAACGCTGTCTCTTGAGCTTAGGCAGTCGAATAATTAAGAGAAAGATTTTTTCTTGTCTCTATGGAATAATTGGAAGACTTATTAAATTCCACTACTATTGTTTCAATTACAATAAGCGCATACAATTGGTAGGTGATTGCCCGAGGAGATGCCAGTCATCAGGAACGTCGAAATTACAACTGAACTCGCCTAGTTTTATAACGCTAGAAATTCATCGTTCTTTACTAACAACTTTTCCAAAAAAGTCCCTTACGACTGGTGGAGAACTCGGTCATCAAGTACACCAGAAATCACAAACCAATTAATTATCCTTCAGTTACAACTTCTCCAAAAAAAGCCCTTACAACTGGTGTAGAACCCGGTAATGAAGTACATCAAAAATCAAAAACCAAACCGTTAATGCTCTTTGCTGCAACCAGACGTCCTAATTGAAGAGTCATACTAGCAGGATGGTAGTAACTAAAGACAGGCGTTATTGATTTGTGAGGAACTGATATTTGTCAGTTTTTATAAATATATTAATGAAACATACCATTTTCCTGTCAAAAACACCTGTAGTAACGTCCTACCTTTTCTCTGAAATAATCCACTTCGGCTTTTAGTTCACAACCGCACGTGATCTTGTGAAACCAAGTTGTTCCAAGTCTCCAGTCAGTTCTGCACATACTGCTAAATGAGCCTACATTTGTATAAATTGAGGACGTTTGAGACAAGTGATTAGAGACTGCACCGTTACGGTCACCGAATTGTAATGTGGATACTCCGTGTGTCCTATGCGTGTTTATGTTATTAGTGCATCCATGTAACAAATATATCCTATTTTATGTCATTCTTTTTTCTTTCTGTTCAATTACGGATCAGTGAAGAGGACCACCTCGCTCACTCGTTGGCCACTTATTTGTTCTTACTGCATTTTAGGTTTTCTCTAATCTATAAGTGAAGAACCACACGGCAAAATTTGATCTCTTTCCTCTATATAATAACCGAAAAAATAATAGAAATTAACCTTTACTGTCAGCCATGTTGGACAAAACAACGATCAGACATTGATTATATGAATAACTACATTACAATTTATAAAATGGTACAGTGTAAAGAAGTTAAATATAGCTTTAAATTGTGTGTGTTTATTTGTGTCCCAAAACAATAAAACGGCTGCCATGTTTGTGTCCCAAACCAGTCCTGTGGGAGTTGAACTCTTTTCTCATGTAAACGCTTTCTTTTGTTCCAATAAATTTGCATAGATGCTGGCCACGTGAGTGAAAACACAGAATACATCCTAAAAAATGGGTGGTGACAATGCAAGAGAGAAGTAAAAACCAAGCATAGCGCCAGCGGTGAAATGACAATGGTCTATTGATACATGTAGCTATTATACCTGTCAAAATTGAGTCAGCTAATGAGCATTCTACTGTTATTTCCTCGCCAGTCTTTGCTCGAGGCTACTTCACGCCAAACTTTATCTCGGACTGACAGAAATCTGAAAAGGGGAAAATACACTCATGTGTAAAAGAGCGATTTTTGGCCGGAAGATTTTCCCTACAAGCAGGTCTCTCAAGACCCTTCAACTAGAATAACAAAGCCGAATCAGATGGAGTTAATAGCATTCTATAAGGGGGTAAACGCCTAAGCTGCACTGACCCTTCAAACCTTTCGACTTTCACAGCAGGAAAGTGAATATATGAAATTTGATTCACTTAAACTGCGGGAAAAAGATTTAGCAATTGCAAAATAAAGCAAAAGCGAGACCTGCTACCATATATTGGTGAACCTACAGTGAATGATATTTTTCACCAAAATCCAAGATGGCCGTCTTTCGGAATACTGAGCATCTGGTGAAACAAATCGTCGGTACACCTTTTTTGCAAGCTATGTTTTTACCATAAATTGTTATTTTCAACTTGTTGAAGAGAGCAGATACGGCCCCAAGGATTAAAATTAGCCCGGTCGTAATTTCCTAAGATCCAGAAGGATAACGTTTGTTGTAACATATTTTTTTGATTATGCGAACCTCTTTTACTGACCACGCGCGCAGTGTTGTTAAGTTCTTGCTTTAATGGGTTTTACAGTCATAACTTACGGTTAGAACAGTTATTCTCATCAGAGAAATCATAGCAGTCGTTCCTTAGATCACATCGTTCCTCGTCCCATAATATCTGGTCACCACTATCACACAAGAATAACTCGCCTTTGGTTATTGAATGGAGTTTATTTAAACCTGAAAAATCAACGACATGAAACATCATCAAAACGGACTTGAAAGATTTAACGTCGTTGAAGGTTATAGTAGCTGCCTCGCCTTTGTCGCTCCATGTAATTTTTACAACGATTAGTCTAGTAGCTGTGTAATAAGTCTCGTTGCTTCCTTGAACGTCGATGACTTGCCTTTTTTTTCTTAGTCGGTTACGGACAGCACAGCGTAAATGTAATTTTCACACATGGGTAAATAAAATACCTTACGTTTGGGCTTTTTCCTAACCTCTGATAGCTCCAGTGCAAACCGTAGCTCTTCTTTTCCCTAAATAGCAGCCAGGCCTAGTCATCTGAAGCCAGGGGTTTTGAAGACAATAAAAGTCTACACCGCCATCTTTCCAGTGATCGTCACCATAAAAGACTTTACCATTCCATCTACAAGCTATAAAAAGATGTGTTTATTTACAAACAATTATTGCAGCCACCGCTATTAATCGTTCATTGCTTAACTAACTCCGGCGTGCAAAACTGAAAATGGCCCGTGATCTTGTGGCAAGACAAGTTCAATTATCACTCGGCTTTCTCCCACTAACCTTCACTTTTACTGCGAATAGAAAATGAAAGATGAACTTAAACAACAAATTTAGCTATGAGTACCCAGAAAACGGGGCAACTCATTTCAGTACTCCCTCGGGTGGGAGGAGGGCTGAATTTTCATGAATTCGGCAGTTTATGATAGGGTATGAGACTCAATGGACCTAGAATAGAGCATCCTTTGTGACATTTGATTAGTGTAGTCGTCGTTTGTGGTACGAATTTACGTTTGTGGTTGATGGTTAGTCTGGTAGAGATTTTTGGTTCCTATTCTTGAAAAAATGTAAAATGCAGCTTACATGGTCTTGTATTGCCTAGGAGCCCACCATTTTAGAGTCCCGCTTTATTTATTTATTTATTTATTATTATCATCATGGTCATCGTCATCATAATCATCATCATCATCATCATCATCATCATCATCATTATTATTATTGTCATAATCATCATCATTATCACTATAATTTGTATTTTTATTGCTATCATCATCATCATCAACAACAACAACAACGACATCAACATCCCCCTCAATAGTATCCCAAATTTTCATTATTATAATAACATTCTTAGAGGGTAGCTATACCTCTGCATTTGGCTTTGTTTTCTTGCACATAACGCACCACATTACACTCTGTCTGGTTACAGTGCTCGGTTATCCTTCCTTCAAAATTCTTTGACGATAATACTGATATTGTTCTTGTGCATTTGATAACGCCATTTTGACAGGAACACTGAATACAGGTACCAACGGACCAAGTGGCTCCTTCAAAATACTTGTTCAGCTCTTCATCTTGACATGTTATGGCTTAAAGAGGACCCGTAAAATAAATAATTGAACAAACGAATTCTGAATTTATTTTACGCTTGCAAACTGAGAAAACTATGATCACATGAAATAATTAACGAATGTTTCTTGTCTTGTGATTAGTCACAAGACCAGGACATGCGAGTAGCAAGGCACAAAACCACAAACTAGTAATAGATGTTGATAAGATTGTGTCAAAGATGGCATGTACAAAATATAAAATTCTCAAATCTAATTGGCTGCCAGCTGTTCCTGTCAGCACTGATGGGACAGTTTAAGAAAAACCAGTTCGCGTCCTGCCTAAGTAATTGGACAGGATGCGCTATCGCACACGCACTTGAATGATTTTGTTTTTCACTGCTTGCAAAAAGCCGCGAATATTTTGTGTTTTAATTTTTAAAAGGCTTAAAATATCACAAATTTTGTTATGGTTATGATTAATTAGTAACAGAACTTTGTGTCTTCCAATTCGGTCTGTAATTATACTCGTGATCAAACTTATTGGACGACCGCGTATTTTGTTAATACAGACCGAATTGTACTCCACCCAGTCCTATTTCCACTGTTTGCCGACTAAGTGTTGCGGGCCGGCTTGTCGAGCCTGATTACAAGCATCGTTTTTGGTGCTGTTGCTATTATTTAGTCTTAATAAATTAAAGAGTGAAAGATATTGAAACACGTGTCTATGCCGACTATGTGTTTCCTTGGATAAAAGAGGCTGTTATCTATTTTGTGTTTAGTGACTTAAGTTTCAAGCCAGCTCCGTGACAGCCTACACTCCTGATATTAAGGCGACGTTAGACTAGTTATTTATGTTCTACATACATTTCTTTACCTGTTTTGCAGCTTATCATGGAATAATTACGAAAACAATAGGTGAGTTTACATTCATTGTCGATATCTGAGGATACCAGCTGATGGCTATTTGGGCAAAATGACAGATTTCCTCTCATTTGCTTTGAAACTTGCTCCAATACTAAACAAATAAAGACTAATCAGTACTTAAGTTGTTGGAGAACTAATGGGGACATGCGTGTTCCGAATCAAACTGACAAGATAAAACAGAACTCCCGTATATTGTTTAATCGATAAGCACTGGCGTCCAACATTGTAATTCGATTCTCTGTGCGTGTAGCTGAGTAATTTTGCTCATTATGCGTGACAAGGCCAACAAGAGTTTAGAACCAATCGCTCATGGGTTCCAAGTTATCGTAAAAAAAGAGACTGAAAATTATTGGGAGTCAACTTATAAAACTGTGAAAGGTGTGAACCCAGGAGTCATTTCAAAATTAGGTTGAGTTTGATCATCCGGGAGAACGTAGTCCTGAATAGGACGTTTGTTGTGGACAGTGACTGACGTTTCGACAACCTGTGCGGCTGTGAGTTGTATCACGTCAGTTGATGGTATTAAACTTAAAATTGAAAACAAGGCTGATCGGACAGCTAAGGTTTACAAATTTATTTGCCAATATTTCGACTAGACAAAACTAGTCTTCATCAGGGGCTGGAAAAGCTAAGTGATGGTATTAGAAAGCAAAATGCAAAAGCTTCATACCTAATTGAAAAAACTTTGTCTCTTCAAATGAACCGTGAACTATGAGGCTTCAAGGATTTATGGGTATACGTTCGTTTGCAAAGCAAATTCAAAGTTCTTTCAGCAAAAGTTACCATTATCACGAGCTGTTCGTGCGGATGCAAATCCCTAGAGTACTTTATCATGCCGTTGTCTTTTATGCGTTCCAAGAATGCTCTTAGGTCATATCTTAAGATTTTCAAGTGTGCGTTACCAATATGGATAAGCTCTTTTACTGTAGCCAGGGATACCTGATGTGCTCTGTTTAGGTGAAGTTGTGAGCTTACCGGAAACTTTTGAGATCTTTTTTTGAAATGCATCATCACCGAAAAGCTGTGATAGGTCGTGATAACATAAACTTTTCTGCAAAGAACTTTAAATTTGCAATGCTAATAAAGTTAAATTCTACCCATAAATCCATTATGTCCCGTCGTTCATAATTTTATACTTTTTAAACGACAAAGTTTTTTCAATCAGGTGAAAATATCTACCTGGACAATATGACGCACAACAAACTGCTCCATTGTACACATAACATACTGGTCTGACCATTGGCGGGCAAATCCGTCCTACTTCATCGTTGGGTCCAGGAAAATAGAAGGTGCAGCCGCTGAAGTTCCACGTTTGTCCCGCAAATAGTAGTCCGTTGTTTTGTAAAATTTCCACAGCTAAAAACCAGAAGTCATCAATATTGTTTAGTCTTGTTTCAACATAGAATTTGTTAGGAATATTCTAACCAAACTGAGTTCGTTCGAACACTAGCTATAAGCACGCAAAAGAATGGCCGACGCTAGTCACATAGTTTTTAAAGGGCTACGTACATAATTGTAGCGCTATTAGCCATAGTTTTAAGAGAAGATAGAGAAACAGTTATTTAATTGCATAAACATATAGACAAACCGTAAAATAAACATCGACCACCCAGTCACAAGCTAAATAGATAAAACAGCATAAAATGCCTATTAGTTACTCTGGTATGTGCTTAAATGTTACAAACTGAAGAACAAAGAAAATAAATAAAATAGGGATTTCTTTGAATGCTTTAGATTAAATTAAAAATACCTTTACACTCGTCCTTTTTGTTCCGAAGAAACTGTGATACTTTGCAAGAAGGTTGCGTGCAGTTTTCCTGGATCACATAAATATCGGGGTAGTATCCTGGAAAGTTCACTTCCAAAGTTTTCTTGCAGTTCAGTAAGCCTCTTGAACAGTGACAACTTAGACAGGGAGAGACACGCCAGCCAAATTTGCTGTTTTTGATAAGATAAGTTCCGCCTTCTTCATCTTTACACACTTCTAAGACAAAGGACGGCAAAAGAACACTACTTATAAAAAAGGAATTCGGGCCAAGAAGTATTACTATTTATAGATGGCTCCGCTTATTTGTTAAAAACGAAGAACCATGAAGAAAACGACATCTTAAGGTTGCTCGCCCAAGTATTTTTGTAGGTACACCAAATGTTACCACGGTAAACTAAACCCACGCTGAATTTACTGGGGCATTTTTTACCTTGGGAAGTGCCTTTTGCCGTGGTGTGTGTAACCGCACCTTATGCTCTTGTAATAAATGTGTTATAATGTTTTTACAATAAAGATCAATTTGTTTAAGTATATAAGAAATCAAAAGGTGGAAGGTGTACCTACAAAAATACCGGGTCCAGCCATCTTAAGTGGATAATGTTCAACCGTTTTCCTAACCGAATTCACCTTTTCCTAGCCGCTCGAAAAGCATTGAATAGTCAATTAACAAAATCAAATGCGGCAATTAACTTTTGCTTTAGTTGATGACTTGCAAGACTAGCTCTAAGAGTGGTGAAGGCATGTCCAATAACAATATCTCTTTAAAAATAGTTTTAGAATGTCTTACTATCTTCGCAGCCTGTTTCGTCAGATCCGTCCGGACATTCAAAGATTCCGTTGCACCTGTGACTTTCCCAGATAAAATGATGTCCGGTGAAGCATTTGAACATCGCTGGTCTTCGCATTTTTTGACTGGCAGTCCCCAAAAAAGCTTTAGGAAAAAAAATGGAAAGATGCACTTGTTAAAGGAAGGGAGTTGTCAAAACATAAAGGACGGTATTAACGCTATCTACATAGTTGAAATTATAGACCTTTAAGATAAATTAAAGGATCCCTCCTAGTTATATCATTTGAAATTTTCCTTAAGCGCTGTAGGTATTCTGTTTAAAATATTTGCAAAATTATAATTTATTTTTAAAATTTCTTTGTTTCTGAGACGTCGAGAAGAACTTCTAAACGTTTTACCGCGAAAAGGAGTTCGACTTCATTTTTTTACATGCGCAGTCAAAAGACAGTACCGTATTTTAATGAAAGATTTAAAGGAAAAATAGCATGTATGCTTTAATAGAAAATGCTTTAACTATTAATGATCGACACTTCTTCCATTTCATTAGGGTTTCCCTTTGAATTGCCTATCTAAACGCTTTCGTATGATCGTTACTTTCTTCACCTTTACAATCTTCAGATGAATCATTTTCAAAGGTATGCAAACAGAGCTCGCATATTGGATAAATCTTCACTTCAAACAAACCATAGGTGACATTGACCTCATATCTGGTGCAGTTAATACTGCCATTTATACAGGCGCACTTAATGCAGTCGTTCTTGAGCCACGTCTCTTGGTGTTTTTTTATTTTACCACTGCTGTCCACACAAACTGGCTCCTTTAGAATGGCACAAAGGACGAATTTATCTCGAGAACAGGTACACTTTGTCGTTGGATCGTTTAACCATTCATCTCCAGGATTACGAATACGCTGCTCGTTGTCTCGACAGACTCTGAATACAGTGGTTGGTTTTAAAGGCTTCAATGTGAAGACAATACTCGAGGAACATTGGATTAGTAATTCTGCAGTGCACGAACACTGGCTGTTAGGTGTGGGTTTCCAAACATCCCCAGCATTGTAAGATTTACCATCAAATCCTACGCAATGTCTGGACGATGTAACTGCGTAGATAAATAATGCGTATTGATTGTACATTGAACAAAGGCAGAAGTAACAATGATCAATCTCTGTCAAAAATAGTCCTAATCAGTACTACACTCACTGGAACAACATATTCCGCTGATTTACTTATGAACTGACTCGTTTATGGTAACATTATAAGGAACGTCAAGATCAGGTTAAGGGGCTTAAGCAACAACGACGACGACGGCTACGAAAACGTCACTTACAAAGTGAATTCGCGATGCTTTTAAACTATCGGGCTTTACTCGTTCGATTCGTCGTTGCTGTGCAGTGGAGGCACGAAAGTTAAAAAAATGCGTGCTGCAAGTGCTGCTTTTTTGCCTTTCTCGTTGACGTCGCCTTCGCCGTACTCCTCGCTGTTGTTCCGCCCTGCTGTTCGACCCAGTTCTAACCATAAAATATTGCTATATAACAGGAGTAGGAGATAAAATGCAATGTTAAATGGTCACAAATATTTGGGAATAGTCCGTCAATAAGAAGCTTATTGAATAAACTCAGAAAAAAGATGATTATTACCAGCTGATGGAGACGAAGAAGTGAAGTTCCCAGATAACCCTACAAAAGGGGAGAAGCAAAATACAAAACAAAAAGTGTTTCCAGTGTTATCAGTTGTAACATACCACTTATCAACCCAGAGTGAGGTCATTACGGGGAAATCTCAAACTGAGGCCTTGATGACTGACATTTCCCAGAAATTATTAAGCCTTTTCATTATGGACCGGAGCCTGCGATCAATTAAAACCAACAACTGGCCAGCGGATAACTTTAAAACACAGGTCACCTCAACGAGTTGTACACTTGAGCCCGCGATACAGTCAGGTGACACTGGTCAGCGGATACCTTTTTACAGCTGGCAGTTTACCACAACGTGGATATTGATAAGGATGTCCCCTAGATAGATTGTATACATGTACGCCTTGGACACCTATGTGGCGAGTAATGCCCAGCCATTACAAGAAAACAGCCAATCAGAGCACGCGTACTATTGTATCCACATAACAAAACATAGTAATATTAAAGTACAATGTTGTCTACTGTTTAAGCGATTGAGATCATTTGCGAGTCACAAATTATCTCAATCGTTCTTGAGGAGGCTAAATGATTGAGTGTAGGCAGTTATCCCTGTGCGGGCGACCTAAGGCCTGTTTCAAACGTCGTGCTACTGCCGTGCTAAGCCGGTTCGATTGTACCTCGACTGCAGCACGACATCAGCATGACTTGGTTTCAGACGTTGAATTTAATTCAGTCGAATAGAACGGCTATTGCCGAAAACAAAACACACAAAAAACGAAACAGTTTAGCAAACTTTTAAATATATTCTAATGTATTTATAATTTATAGACTATTTATGAATTGAGTTCGGCACAGTGATAGCACGACGTTTGAAACCAAGTCGAGCTACTGCCGTGTAGCACGGCAAGGCTTGCCGTGCTACACGGCAGTAGCACGACTTGGTTTCAAACGTCGCGTTACTGCCTTGTAAAAGTCGAATTTAATTCGATCAAATGAGTTCGGCACAGCAGTAGCACGACGTTGGAAACAGGCCTAAGGTCCTTTAGACCAATCAATACTAACTTGAATTATAACACTTATACGGTCTTGCAAAACAGCCATACTGTTTTAATTCATGTATCAAGAGTTACCTTTTGTTGCAGCAATTATCATAACGAAGATCCATTCTAGCTCGATGGTTATCCCTTTTCCCATAACTCCAAGTGGTTTTACTTCTGTAAAAAAAAATCCAAAAGTTTCTGGTTGTTTCTAACAAGGCAAGGGCTTATATTTCTTTGTTTCAACCAGAAACTTTCTCAACAACTTTGTTAATAACAACCAAGAATGTGATGAAGGCAGCTTTACGAGTGGGTTGAAATAGCTTGGTTAAAAACAAACTAGTCTAATCAAATCAACAACGCTATAGCCAAAATACGATCAACTACATATACTAGGGACGCGAATGTAAGTCCAAGTACAAGCGCTAGGATATAAATCCCTCTTCAACCGTGCGAACTGTCTACGCGCAACTGACAGTTGGCCGTTTTAAGCTAGAGACGTCAAAGTCATGAAAACTTATTTAACGTGAGAAATGTTAAACTCGATTGTGTAAAAACGCGACGCATAAAAGTAGATGACAACATCGAAAACGCAGAAATTCTGAAAAAAAAAATATACAACACTGACTCTTCCCTGAGTCGTCTTTGGACGAGTTGGGCATGAATGCTTCCCAGTTTAAGGCATCCCGTTTTCATACTAGACGCAATAGGCCATGCACTTCCGAGTTCCAAAAACCCTCACTTTCAAAATGAGGCCAAGTGCACAACCTTTCTTGAGAAAATGAGAGTTTATTTGCATGAGAATGAAGAATCATTTCCATATCAAAGGCTGAGCACTTAACCTCGTTTTGATACAGAGTTCTGGGAACTCGGAAATGCTCTATTAATTAACGTCTGAGACATTAACGTCTTCTGTTAAGTGCGACTGAGCGATGCACTGATCGGAAGTCGTTAATTTCGTCAAACGTTAAATGCGTCTGTCATATTTACCGTTCGTAATGCCTCTCTAGCTTAAAAGCGGCCATTAGCAGATTAAAGAAGCGCAGGTTAAGGCACCAATTCATTGTAGTGGTCTCGATATAAATCCAGTGCCAAGAGAAATTTTGGCCCAAAATTTGTCTTCGTTTGATTATCGGATAATCCGTTTCTTAGTTTATATCTTAATGGTTCGGAATTCTGCGCGATTTTAGTACAATTCATTAGTAAGGATTCATGGTGCACAGTTTTTAAAGATGGCGTCCACAAGCAAACCAAAGTTTCATCAAAACAGCTCGAAAAAGAGAGAAAAAGCAGTCACAAAAAGCTAGCTTTGTGAAATGCCATTGAACAAAAGGGAACTTTTTGTATGGTTACTGAACTATTATGTCTTTTCTGGATTCTATTTTTTTTAAAAAATATTTGAATGACCTTTGGGTTAAGGTAAGTGGAGATGCATAGCTTGTATTTCAAATTACAATTAGTAAAATTATGTCAAGATAGTGTCATCGATATTTCTGGATTAAATGTACTAAACGGGGAAATTCAAGAGCGTTGAATAAATTAATGAATAAACGAGCAATAGAGGAAGTGCTCAAAGAGATTTTTATCAGAACTCCTACATACATTTTTCTCTTGTTGAAGTTTTTGATCCGCTATAAGTTATAGTTTAAGGCTATTTAAACCTACTTAATTTCAAATTTGTTTCAAGTATAAGAAAGAAACCGGCTGTTGAATCTGAAATTCAGTTAAAACCTAATGTAATATATTCCCAATGTTCTTTTGTCCCAATTACCATACCATAAAAGACATGAAACTGATGACACAGCAAGCAAATAGCGCTTAATTTTGCTTTTGTTTGATTTAGATCAAAAGAAGCCATTTAGCAATTATTTCGAGTAATTATCGTCCTTGAAGATTAATCCTTTATTTCTCCCTTCGGTAACCAAGTACTCTCAGTATTCGATTGCGTGGAGTGGTGGTGATGATATAAGAGTTGAGTTCACGGATTGAGAGTGAAAACTTCATTACATACATGACATACATGTACGTCGAGGAAAATGTGCGAACTGTGAAAATTTATTTGCAGTTGAGCAGAGACCGTGAAGCAGCGAAAACATTTCTGCTGTCTTCCTCCCGGAACAGCCATATGAACTAGTTAGTACAGTTAAAGTAAACGGGAATACCGGCCAAATTTATCGCTGGTAATCAACTTGAAAGGTCGTGCCTTCGTTTGAGAGTCTACGGATGAAAATGAACTCTCGCGTGCGGACATTCATTTTGCGCTTGCCATTCTAATTAAAAACTACATACAATCAAAACCTGAAAAAGTTCGAGTAGTAAAATATTGACAATATTTAAAGCTAACTTAGCTATGCATTTTAGTCAAACTACTTACCTCTGCGTTTTGATTTCAAGATTTCATTTGATAATTCTTTTCAGGGGAACCACTGGGTGGTTTCAGATCCATCTGTTGTTTCACGAAAATCTTTTTTTTTTTTTTTGTGATCAACTCTTGCTATTGCAAAAGACACATGAACATTATTTCTAAATGTCCAATGCCGCCGCTGATGATGACCATTAATGAAAAAGAAAACAACGAGATAGGTAAAGTTTCAATTAACTGAAATCAAGAAAACTCATTAAATTTAGTAATGACCTGCCAATTATTTAAACATTAATTTGAATAAAACGTCGTCCAATTCCCGACCAATAAAATTTCATAGACCATTTTTTACGCTTTATATACACTTTCAATTGCAGTGTTTTTAATGAAATTTATGGTGACATTTTATTTCTATTTTTCTATTAGCAAAAAGGCCTGGCTCTAAGGGGAAACATAAATCGAACTGCAAATATGATACGAATGAAAATTAACTTCACATCACTCAGACATGGGCTCACATTTATTCGCGTTGATTAATCAACATTGGAACCTATCTATTTAAATAAGTTCCTAAGGGAGTCAATTGGTCGCGTCAGTTATTCCTTAACGAGTGCCAAATTGGTAAAAATGTAACATTCTTGTAAAGCTTGATTTTCACTAGGTCTGCCTGAGTTAAGACAGACATCGCTTGCAGGAGTACTTAATTCCAACCATTTTCTTTTTTTGGCTTTTGCAATATTTCGCTTGTGAGTGTGTGTTTTTTTTTCCTCAGCCTGGAAGTGGTCATTTCCAATTTAATTTTTTTTGGAAATTCTGCGATCATTTGGTTAGCATTCAAATGAATTACCAAATATCGTGATCTAGTCTCTGTAGACTAGCCGTTCTTGCTATAATTATTTCTTTAACCTTTTCCGGAAGAAATAAAGACTGAATTTATAAATTCTCCCCTAAGGGTATGTCTTTTCACTGCAGCTGAGAATTGGTCCTATTTAAGCGAGTTAATGTGTTTTGAAATTGGCCATAAAGGCGATACCCAAATGACCGGTCGTGTTCTTCATGACTCGATCCGCACAGAACGGCACCCTTAGATGATGGTGTGAAGTGCATGATAGTCAAGCATATTGATCTTCAGGATTCAAAGAGTAATATTTGAATAATCATGAACATAGCAATTATAATCTTATTCAAAACTATAACAAAATTCTCAAACCCGATTGGCTATCAACTAACCTAATTTCAGCACCAATAGGACAGTGTAATAAGACAGTACGCGCCACCGCACGCGCGGGCTTATATAGCACTTTTTTTTTACACCGCTAGCAAAAACACTTGGAGTTTCTTGTGTTTAATAAGAATTAAAAAAGCTTACAATATAACAAATTTTGTTGTAGTTATAATTAATTGGTAACAGAACTCTTCGTGTCGTCCCATTCGGTCTGTAATCATACTCGTGATTAAACAAATCGTCCGATTTTGTTAATCACTGGTATGATTAGAGACCAAATTGGACTCCACTCAGTCCTGTTACTATAATAATTACTATTTCAATGCTTAGTTGGACATAAGGCTGAACGTGAAGCACAGGTTGATGATAGTTATTACCCGAGCAAAACTGACTTCTCTATTCGCACTGGCAATTTTCCTGAAATATGGAAATGCTCGAAAGTGGCTGCACTTTTCAAAACTGGAGATAGGAGAGATGCGTCAAATTATCGCCCAATTTCTATTCTGCCAACAATGAGTAAAATTCTGGAAAAAGTCGTCCATTCCCAATTCTATGACTTTCTGAATTCAAATAATCTCCTTTCAAGCAAACAATTTGGCTTCCGTCCCAAACTGTCTACAACATCGGCTCTCACCAGTTTTGCAGATGAGGTCCTATTGCACATGGAGAGTGGAGAACTGTGCGGTGCAGTGTTCCTAGATCTGACCAAGGCATTCGATACCGTTGACCATACGATCTTGCTATCTAAATTGTCGGCTATCGATGTCTCGCCCAGCACTCTACAGTGGTTCAAGTCTTACCTGAATCATCGTAAACAGCGGACTGCCTGTAGCGATGCTGTGTCTGACCCTCTCCCGATGACCTTTGGGGTGCCACAGGGGAGCATTCTAGGACCGCTTCTCTTCTTGGTTTATATTAATGACCTTCCGCTGGTTATAACGAATTGCGAAGTGACTTTGTATGCTGATGACACGGTCCTGTACTACTTTGCTAAAGAGCCACACCTGTTAGAAGAGGCACTGAATGATGATCTCTTGAAAGTTGCCCAGTGGTTACATGGAAATAAGTTAACTTTAAATCTTACTAAGACGAAATCCATGATTATAGGCAGTAATAGGAAACTTGTTGGTATTTCCTCTTTCACGTTATCTATTTTTGACACTGATATAAATTCTGTAAGTAGTTTTAAATATTTGGGAGTTATGTTGTCTTCAACTTTCACATGGTCCGACCATATTGAGTATATTTCATGTAAGGTTAATAAAAACCTTGGTCTTCTACGTAGGATTAAGTATTATTTACCTTATGATGCCCGGTTACTTTTTTTATAATAGCTTAGTGCTACCTATTTTTGATTATGCTGATTTAGTCTGGGGTGACAAGGACAATGTCTCACTTATGAAGGAATTGCAAATTCTCCAAAACAAAGCAGCTAAGTTGATATTAGATAGATCACCTCACTCCTCATCCACCGATGCATTGATTGTCTTGAGATGGCTGAATCTTGAAGAACGTAGGAAATGTCATCGATGTATATATGCATACAAGTGTATTAATGGCCAACTTAATC